TGATTCCCGATGGGTTCAGGGCGGCACCCGCTGTGCACCTCAGTGGCGAACACGGGTGTCGGGAGCAGGGTCTGCACCCTCGGCGTGTAACGTCCCGACCAGCAAAGCCTTTAGGTATACACTTAATTTTACATAGGAAGATAAACCCCACAGACTGCAGCATGGAACTGGGAGGATTTCACTCTAAAGCCAAGTGTTTTGATGCGAATCGCAGGTTTCTTGTCACGATCGTTTGGTCTGGGTTCTCCCGACGTGCTCCTAGGCTGGCAAAAACAACTCTCTGGGTAAACAGACTGACTCAAAAAGGTTGTGTGCATTTTTAGAAAGGGATTTTGCACCTTTACGAAAAGGGAAAGATCTTAGCCACAGTCACAAGCATATGAGAAAGAACAAGATTTCCGGCCAAATAACTGGGTGGCAAATCACGACACAGGTTTCTGATGCAATGGCAGTGGGTGTGTGGACATGATCCGTGTGGAAATACGCAAGGACGCAGCAAGAGGTAAGAGTACGGAAACTGGCTCAAAATAGGACTGGAAGCTGCTTAATCTCTCCCTTTCCTAGAGCTACGACTGCCTTTTGGGGAGGTTTTTGGAGGACGCTTGAAGTTCCGCTGCACAGCCGCATGACTGCTCGCGGCAGGGATGCTTCTGGCGTGGTGGGGCTCCAGTTGACTCTCGTGGAAGCAGAGCTCGCCCTTAGTTACTTGAGGTCAGTCAGAATGATATTTTCCTTCGGTTTTCCTGGTGTCTATGTTATTCCCCAAATCCTTCTTAAAACTGAAAGTGCCACATTCACAAGGTTCCTGGATGCTGCTCTGGAGTCTCAGCGAGTCAGGAGCTCCCAGGCAGCAGCAAAGGCCGCGCCTGAACTGACCCATTTTTGCTTTTAACCGTGCAAACGTATGACTCAACGTTCATTTCGGCGAGGCAGAGACACCACTCTCCGCGAACACCGGGGAAGCCACTCCGGCTACTCAAGCGGCAACTCCATGAATGCAAATCAGGTTGGGATAGCCAATAAAAGAATATTGCATCAATTTATTTCATGTCCACAGACACAGATGGGACTTTATAGCGAGCTGCATTCAAAGAATTTGCATGCAATCGCACAAGTGAAAACCATCTCACCAGCGTGGTGAGGCGGAAGCCCAGCACACAGCAGATTCCTGAGCGAAAACGAAAGGGCTCTGCTTGCCAGGGCCGTGCGTTTGCACGAGGCTGCCCAAGCACTCTGCCTTCCAAGTATTAATCCCTTATTATCAGTCTGGCAGGGCTGGAGGCATGGCAGGGTATTTCACTGGGTTTTTTTCAACACTGGCTTTAGGCATCCTTCAACTCGATGAAAGCAGGTGAGCATAACAGGTGTAACTGAGACAGCAGTAGGTCAGCAGAGCCCCAGACCCCGCTGCGAGCCCAGTCCTGCCTGGCACGCTCAGGGCAAAACTCCCAAACACGGGACTGAGGTTCCACACGAGATTCTCCTGCGTTCCACAAAAGCAATTCAAGGCTGCTTAGGTGCGTCCATGTAAGAGGCAGACAGCCGAGGCACTGGAAAGCCACTGACCAAACTCCCGTGGTGATGTTCACACTGACGGTAGCGGGCGGTGGCCAGCACGGTTCTGGGCCAAAATCAGCAAGACCACACAGGCGTCAGGACAGGAGTGGTAACTTAGACCCGTACCTTGGGTCACCTCCTCCAGGCACCCGGGCCCCCGCTTTTCCCAGAGGACTGCTGCCCACTTCACGGCCATCCGAGCCTTCCACCCCGGGAAAGCACATCCCGCTGAAACCCTGCCCCGTCCAGCAGAACCGAGACCTCGCTCAGAGTGAACATGCAGGACGGTTACCAGCGGGGATTGCAACTCAGGGGCTGGGGAATGGGAAAGGACACGGAAGAAGCAAAGGCCATGTGCAGAACCTGCCCGTTCCTCGGAAACGCTCACAATCAGCAATGCTTTGGCCGCTGAAGTGAGCCCACAGCTGCTCCCCAGCCCCGAACGTGCCTGAGCAACACGTGCCAGCTGCATTTCTGGCAAATGGCCCCAGACACCCAGTCCTGCTAAGAAATGAGGATCCAGTGGCAGCGCTTCCAAGGAGCATCCCTGCCTAAGGCCAGACAGATCGTTACCTGTTAATGGAGCTGACGCTGGGCACGGTGTCGTTGTCACACACTCGCTCAGCGAGGAGTCTATCCCTGATCTCCCAGGCAAACATGGTGGGATTTTGGCGTTTGTACTCTGCAATTTTTTCAACGACTTTGGGTGTGGCGACCTTTGGTTTTGATCCTCCAATCACTCCAGGCTTAATACTCCCGGTTTCGTAATACCTGGGACAACATCCAAAACAAAGCTTTAGTTATCACAAATAGACAGAGAACATGCTTTGAGATTTATAGAGAACACAATTTCAAGGTAACCAAACCCCAGCAAATCCTGAGATACATCTTCACTTTCACATACACATTTTCTGCCTATGTAGTGCTTTATCACCTAACAGATTAACTTATAGTAATTGGAATTGGGCCTCGGGATACGATATATATTTTTCTGTAATAGCAAGGCAAAAGAAACAATGCAAGATTAAAGGGCACGCTGGGATCCAAAATTAACTGAAAATGTGTGTTATTAATCAGCGGTACTGGCAATAATAGAAACAAATCACACCGAAGACCACTTTTTGCGGTGGACTCTTTTGTAGTAAATTACTGTTTCTACAGAAATTCTCTGTCACTAATATCTATGGCTTGTTATCGTTTCATAGTGAGATGAAGGCCAGGTAGCGTATTTTATTCACACCTCTGGAACAAATGCACCAGTGTATCTTTTTCCCATTTTGCGTTTTTAATGTACATATTATGGTTTTAATAGTTAATGTTTGTCAAAATCTTTTTAACATTGTGTTTTCAGCAGTTTCAATCATGGATTTCAAGGAAAAGGGAGCTGCTCATGCTCCGGACGGGCCAAGCAGACGTGGAGTTAGTTTCTGTGACCAGTCCTCTGCCAATGCCACTTCGGGAAAGGTGGAGGACGGAATCCCTAAACTGACAGAAATCCGATGGATTTCTTCACATGTAAATCACACAAGAGCAGATCGCAGCTGAGATCCACAACCCCACAAGCCTCACCTTTTCACAAACAGAGCCTTGAACCTGCTGCTAAGAGCAGAAGTCGTACCTTACCCATCGAGGGTCAGGACAGAGACCAAGAAGGAGACCGCGCTCCCCTGTGCCGCGCTGCCCGGGTGCACAACGCACGCGGCGCCCTGCCGGCAACGCGCTTCTTTGTATCCTGTGAATTTTCTCGTGACCGGATGAAAAACAAGCCTCGTTCCTACCTGCAACAACCACCCAACTGCCCCAATTCGGCACGTCCCTCCTGTACAGAGCACACCTCCTCTCCATGAGCCTTTCAACCTGAAAGTCCACCGGGCTGCATGCTCCCGGCAGCTCAAACATGTCCACTCCATGCTCTGTGCCCATATTTCTAGCAGGGAGCTCGGAAAAAAACTCCCAAGCAAGAACATAAGACTGCTTATTAATATATTTTCTCTGCAGCTACTTGACATACCCATTATATGAAAAAAAAAAAAAATTAATTCCTCAATCCTTCCACTGTGAGCAGAACACAAACAGGCTGCGCAGCCGAAGTCTGTCTCGCTGTAACATGCAACCGCGTTCATCAAATTTCTGCCAGCTACCGCTTTTCAATCTTTCTGGGAGAGCTCTGTGTGCAAGGCCCCAAATTCCTCTGAAGAGACTGACGCCGTGTTGTTTGTGCATGTTTTCAGATATTTCAGATGCAGATATGGACTCAGATCCACCAGTCTCCATAAGCCATTTCAGCAATACTTGTAATGGAAAGTGTCAAGCGTCAGGGATGGACTAACCCTCCTCGTGTCCCTAAATGAAGTCTAGTAGCGAGCTTTAGGGCAGGAGGCTAAAATTCAGCTCCTCCTGTGCTTCCCAAGGACACAAAAAAATGACAGCAAACGTGGACCATACAGACACCCTACACCCCTGGCCTCAAAACCATCGCTGCTGGCACCTCTGCTACAAGGAGGTCGTAGAAGGAAGCCAGACAATGCCGTGAATGCTGCCGAACAAAAAGTCACAATTTTCCTCGTTCCAGTCAAAATGACGGATTTTACAAATGTTCCTCAGTGCTTTTCTCCAACAGCGCCTCGCTGCACCGCGACATGGTGCCCGTGGTAACTGCCCATGAGGCAGGACAGACCAGCTGAGCAGAGCATCAGCCGGCAGCTCCAGGAGCCGTGGCTGCATGGACAAGACAGTGCTTCCCACGGTGACTCCATCACGGCAGGCAAACCACGACGGCAAAGGCCCTTGCTGTCATGAGGCTGTGGCTGTGGCGAGCTCACCAGCAGACAAAGCCCTGGTGCCCTCCGGACAGTGAGATCTCCACTCCTGAAGCCTCTAAGTGCTGCCTGCCCACCTGCCCACACTACCTCGAGCCCTGCACCCTCCCGCACAAGGCACGCACATGTCGACAGAAAGACCTGCCTTGTGCGGGAGGGTGCAGGATCAGGCCCAGACCCCCCTCCCCAGGCAGCCGGGAAGACTCTCTGCAAGGGGGGCAGCTCTCGCCCAGTGACACCACCAACACCTCCCTCTTCTTCGCACCAGCCGTGAACCTGGGCACAGCCAAAGGGCTTGCAGGCTGCACAGCACGGGCGTCCCCAACTCCCGTCTCCATTTCAGAGGCAAGGACGGCTGCAGCCAGCTTCATTTTACGCACATTGGGTCCAGGCTGTTCGCTCCCAGCAAGTTGCCAACGCAGGTGAAGAGCGGGCACCCCTGTGGTGCCCTCCTCTGAGGCGTGGGAGCTCCACTTGCACTGCAGCTGATGGTTCCCTGCCTCTGGTGGTTTTTAAGGCTGTATCAAGGACTCAAAATTTCCAACCATAAAATTCCAAATGTAAGGATTTATCATAAGAATTCCCATTTTTCACACACACACGCGCATGAAAAAACACACACTCATGGAGCCGCAATTACAGTGACATTTTACCCACTGTAATTATTAGTTATGAAAATAATGAGCTATGAAATTCCAATTTATTGTTGACAACTTTAATGACAAAGCTCTGGATCCTCACTCTTAGCTCTATAGTGCAAGTATATCTAATGGTAAATCTATTCAAACTAGCAAAAGTAAAACCATCGGACATTGGCCTGGCTGGTAAACAAATGGCCAGTTCCTTAGCTGCGCGCTGGTCCTGATGGGAATTGGTGGCAATCCTGCTGCAGCCAGGAGCACCGCCATCCAAACCGCGCCAGCCACGCCGGGAGCAGGAGCCTGAGCCGGCAGCGGATGCAAGGCCATAACCGAGTGAAACAGCCCATGGTGGGCAGGAAGGTCACAGGTAAAGCCCATGGAAAGTTTTCCTCTCTAAAATAGTAATGGCACCAGCGTCCCTAAACCCACAGCACAAGGAACGCATGCAGCTTGCAGGGCAGCGCATCCCTCCGCGACTGAGGTACGAGAGAAGGAGCAGGGACACCGCGTAGCCTGCATGCGGCTCATGCGGCTCGCTGACGGCATGCCGAGCGTGGCTGCGGGGATGCTGCTCACCAGTTACGGCGAGTACGGGTAAGAGGGGGCTATAGGGAAAAGGATGGCCAAGAGCCACAAAACCAGGGGCCCGTGACTTTGCCGAGTCAGTATGTTTCTGAACGCTTAAAATGTCATTGAGAGACGGTAAGTACTGCTAATCCAAGCAGATCCCCTGCGTCACACTACAAAAAAAAATTAAGTCTTTGCAGCTATGCTATGTCCAGGAAAGCAAATTGGTTAAAAACTAGTAAAGATCATAAAAATAGTAAGAGTAAAAATTCTAAACAATGAAATGAACTGTGAAAGTTTAGTTAATAGTTCGGGAATGATCTTTTCCAGATTATCAAGAAAAACACACTCTAACGAAAAAAAAAATGTTTTACTTAATATTTAGGTTGCTCAACTATCTCGGAATACCTGGAGTTCAAAACTATCTTAACACTATAATTTACACAAATTATGTTCAGATTTGTTCACAAGACACAAAGAAGCAAGGATGGTATTGTTGACCTGAATCTGTGTCAAATCTCAAAAAAAATCTGGAAATGATACAAATTCAGAGTTTAATTTCCTACTGTCATAGTGGCTCAAGCAGCTCCAGCTTGAACAGAAGGCCACTCCCAAAACAGCCAAAATTAAGATGGTTAATAGTTACTTATGATATTCAGTGCCTTAATTAAGAATGTATTGCAGCACAAGAGTAGAAGGCAGCATCGAATTAAACGGTGGGGCAGATTCCAGAACAGCCTGTGTGAGTGCACACACAGCACTGTTGATGCAATATATAATCATATATTTGCTAAAAGAGAGTCTTCTTCAGAAAGCAAAATGACTAACTTCCACAACACCTTTATTTTCACTTCACGAAAGATGACTCCCAGATTTCTGTACTTGTTCAGAACCGACAGGTGTGCCATATATATATACGCCATATATATATAGCAAATACACCCCACATGCTATTTTGCACTTTGCGTTAGAATTACCTGTAAGAAACCGCGAAAGGGGTAAATCAGACATGCGAATAGTGGCACTTTTTTTCCACATCAGGCACATGAAACCATGAGTGGTCACAAAGCCCCCTCCTCACTGCGCTGATTTCCTAAGGTTTCTGCTATTCTCAAACATTTCTTTGCAGTCTTCAATTAAGGGACCAGCGTGGGCACATTTGACGGACACAGAAGGATTCGTCGTCCCCCCTTTACCTGCCAAGTATTTTGCTGACGCAGCCGTGGCTGACGCGGAGCTGCCGAGAGATGTCACACGGCCGGACCCCTTGGTGGGCGAGCTCCACGATCCTTTGGCGAACGACATCTGGGAGGGGGCGGCCGTTCACAAAAACACCCCCCAGCTGATTCACACCTCCATGTCCTGAAACACACAGGGAAGGGGGAGACGGGCAGGAGAAGAAGAGCCGTGTGAAAGTTTCAAACGTTTCTACAGGGCAGACCCCCCAGCCCAGCAGTCCCCGGCACTGGGCATCACCTCCCCAGCATCAGCCAGCTTCCACTTGCTTTTCCCCGGGTG